GGCTGCCCAAACCCTCACCCACGCATTCGCCACATCAAGGCTCGATTACGGAAATTTTTTCCTCGTCGGCCTTCCCAACTCTTCCCTTCACAAGCTGCAGATCATCCAAAACTCTGCAGCTCATGTATTCTTGTGCACCAGGCTCCGTGAGACCCCCATCGCTCCCACTCCACTGGCTCCCCATCCCCCAGAGGATCGAGTTCAAGATCCTCGTCCTCACTTTTAAGGCCATCCATGTCCTTGCCCCCTCCTACCTCTCTGACCCGCTGACTCCCTATCAACCTGCCCGCTCCCTCCGTTCAGCGGTCTCCGTCCTGCTCCGTGTCTCCCGCCCGACCTACCCTACCATCGGTGTCCGGGCTTTCAGCCTCTCCGCCCCCACACTCTGGAACTCCATCCCACAGTCCCTTTCCCTCACTTCCTCCCTCGCATCCTTCAAGGCCGTTCTCAAGACCCTCTTCTTTGATCGTGCCTTCCCTCACCCCTACCCCACCCTTCCCCCAATGCTCGGGTCCTGACCCCTGACTGTCCAGCGCCTTGGGACGTCCTCCCGACGTGAAAGGCACTCCATAAAGGTAATTTTGTGGTTCTTGTTGTTGTGATGAGGCGCTACGTCAAATGCAAGGACTATTATAATAACAATCGTCCAGATAAATTGGTCTTGCACTACAGTGGTTGCCGGTGACACTTAACTTTGCACAAAATATCTCCCAAGTATGGCCTACAACTAAACCGTGGCCAATACGTTCTCAGGCGTTCTCAACGTTCAAGCCGCCAAAAACGTGCAAGTTATTTCTTTCTCTATGTTTAGGCCTCAAATGTTGGAAATCCAAGATAAAAACAGAAAACGTCGCAAACGGAGGGAGATTTTATTTTTCGCACACACACACAGAGCTGGTGTCGGTCGGTCGCATTCTCGCCTCTGAGCGAGAAGTTCGTGGGCATCAAGCCTCACGTCAGGACTTTGATCTTATATAAACTTTTTAGTGCATTGCTGCTTTGCCAGACGTGTGGAGACTTTGTGGAGTCGTGCAGCTCAGTGGTTAGAGCGCTCGCCCCGCAAGCGAGGGACCTGGGTTCGATTCCCGGCAGGGCGAAATATTGGGCACGTTTCCTCACTCCACACGCCTTTGTTTACCAGCAGTAAGTAGGAACCCGGCTGTTAGTCGACTGGCGGATCGCCAATTCCAGGGATAATAATTCCTTAAAAAAAATAATGATGAATCGGTCACTTCAATCCACGACTGTTTGTGGGGACGCTGCTGTGCGCAATTGGCTGCCGTGTTTCGCCCACAAAATACACAGTCAATTCACTTTACAGTCTATTCTGTGAAGCGCTTAGAGTCGCCGGGAAGACGTGATATCAAATGCAAGGATTATTATTATTATCATTATTGAACTAACGACAACTTGGATTTATATAGCGGCCTCCACGCCGGACGGCGTCTCAGAGCGCTTTACAGTTTCGGATCCCGGGACCGAGCCGGGGGGAGTGAGAGGGGGAGGAAAGTGACCAAAGGTGCGGTCGAAAAGAAAGGTCTTCAGCAGAGACCTGAAAATGGGAAGGGAGGGAGCGAGGCGAAGGGAGTGAGGAAGGCAGTTCCAGAGCCTCGGGGCGTAGTGGCTGAAGGCACGGCCGCCGAGGGTGGAGCGGAGGACTTGGGGGACGAGGAGGAGGCCAGACCCGGAGGAACGAAGGCGACGGGTACTGTTTTGAGGAGAGAGGAGGTCAGAGAGGTCGGGGGGTGCAGAGGAGTGCAGGGACGTGAATACGAGGGTGAGGACCTTGAAGTCGAAATATTTATTCTACTTGCAAATAAATGTATATTTTATTTTTAAAACAGTTGACACACCGTGGAGGTGCGACACCGTTTCAGGCGTGGAACTGCCACATCTCTTTCCGCCTTCCTCCCCCACATACACGTAGGTCCCACTTGCCTGATCAGGTGGAGACAGACAGACAGACGGGAGGGAGGGAGGGAGGGAGGTACAGGACCCACTTTTAACTGCGTCCTGCAAAACAGAAATCTGAGGAGGGGTTTTAACCTGAAAATACATTCCCCCCCCCCCCGCCCCGCCCCTTTCCTTTGAAGACGCCTTTTCTTACACAGTTTCGGTCCCTCCACCATAATAATAATAATAATAATAATCCTTGCATTTGATATAGTGCTTTTCACGTCGGGAGGACGTCCCAAAGCGCTTCACAGAACACACTGTAAAGTGAATTGACTGTATATTTGTGGGCGAACGCGGCAGCCAATTGCGCACAGCAATGTCCCACAAACAGTCGTGGATTGAAAATGACCAATTTATTATTGTTTTTGGTTTTGGAGGGATTATTATTAGGCTCTGTGTGGAGTAAGGAAACTTGCCCAAGGTTTCGCCCTCTGCCTGGAATTGAACTCAGGTCTCTCACTTGCGAAGCGAGTGCTCTAACCACTGAGCTACAGGACTCCACCTTACTACAGCGCAGTGCAGAGGTAATCTCCCGCTCCCTCCCACGCACGCGCACGCGCGCACACCTGCACACAAATGGCCTGGTCCGTTACAACATGTAACGGGGCACAAATGAATCACGTTCTCTTCTTTCTTTCTGTCACGGGAACTTTTTCCCCTTTGAGATAAGTGTAAACATTTATTCTATTTGTAAATAAGCGCGTATGTTATTTTTAAAACAGTTGACACACCCTGGAGAGTGCGACATTGTTTCAAGCGTGGAAGTGCCACATTTCTTTCCGCCTTCCTCCCCACATACACATACACGCACACATGCACGCACACGCACACACGCATGCACACACATACACGCACAAACACACACATACATACAGCCAGAGCTTCCGGCAACAAGACCGGTGTAATCCAACAGATCCCAGCACAAATTCAACGGGGATACTGGTAACTGATCTATCTATATATATATATATATATATATATATAATCCTTTCACTTGATACAGCGGCTTATCACGTATTCCAGACGTCTCAAAGCGCTTCACAGAATATACTGTAAAGTGAATTGACTGTATATTTTGTGGGCGAAACGCAGCCGCCAATCGCGCGCACAGCAGCGTCCCCACAAACAGCCGTGGATTGAAGCGACCGATTTTATCATTGTTCTTTTTTTCCCCCTTCTCCTCGAGGGGCTATTATCAGAGGCGCGTCACGATTCTCACTGCCCAGTAAATTTTCGCCCACGGGGTTACGCACGGCATACGATGCGCTCGACAGTATGTTCTGCAAAGAGCCCAGAGACGTCTCGGCGATGTGATAGGGCGTTATATCAATATCAGGTGCACAACGTGGGACAGACAGACAGAGAGAGAGAGAGACAGTGACAGAGAGAGAGAAAGAGACAGAGAGAGAGAGAATGAAGTCCACACACAATGTTACCAGATGGGGCGGGTTTCACGCCCAATTGGGCGGGTTTGTTGTTATACTGTGTGTGGGGAGAAAACGTCTTGAGGCTGGTGCCTAATTCTATTATTTTTTTTATTAAATCAATTTAAATCTGCAAAATACATTCCCCACACACCCCCCTCCCCCCCCCCCCACCACACTTTGAAGACCCTTTTCTTACACAGTTTCCACGAGCACTGAGATCTCAATCAGCCACACATCACGTTGGGCTACTTTTCGGGCTTCTGTTTGTTTGTTTTTGAAATGTGGGCTTTAATTTCTGTCCAGAACCCCACACCCCACCCCCCACCCCCACCCGTGTGACACACACACAGACAGACACACACACAGACAGAGACACACACACACAGACGCACACACACAGACAGACACACACACAGAGGGACAGACACACACACACACACACAGACACACACACAGAGGGACAGACACACACACAGACAGACAGACACACCCACAGACACACAGAGGGACAGACACACACACACACACACACAGACAGACAGACAGACACACCCACAGACACACAGAGGGACAGACACACACACACAGACAGACACACACAGAGAGGGACAGACACACAGACAAACAGACACAGGCTCACAGACAGAGACAGACAGATAGACACACACACACAGACAGACAGACAGAGACAGACAGACAGACAGACACACACAGACAGACAGACACACGCAGACAGACAGACAGACAGAGGTTCCACTGATCAGCAAACACAAACAGAACCCAGAGCACAACCAAACCAAATCATTGGGAAACTGGTAACTGACCCCTCTGCTCTCACACACACACACACACACACAGGGAGAGTGAGTGAGTGTGTGAGAGAGTGAGTGAGTGAGAGTGAGTGTGTGAGTGAAAGAGAGAGAGGGAAGGAGTGAGTGTGTGAGGGAGAGAGAGAGAGGGAGGGAGTGAGTGTGTGAGAGAGTGTGTGAGGGAGAGAGAGGGAGGGAGGGAGGGAGTGAGTGTGTGAGAGAGTGTGTGAGGGAGAGAGAGACAGAGGGAGGGAGTGAGTGAGGGAGAGAGAGAGAGAGGGAGTGTGTGAGAGAGTGTGTGAGGGAGAGAGAGGGAGGGAGGGAGTGAGTGAGTGTGTGAGGGAGAGAGAGAGAGAGGGAGGGAGGGAGTGAGTGAGTGTGTGAGGGAGAGAGAGTGAGGGAGTGTGTGAGGGAGTGTGAGAGAGAGAGGGAGTGAGTGAGTGTGTGAGAGTGTGTGAGGGAGAGAGGCGGTGAGGCAGTGAGGCCTGGCGGGCGGTGCGGGCGGTGAGGCAGTGCGGGGCTGGCGGTGAGGTGAGGCCTGGCTGGCGGTGAGGCCTGGCTGGAGGTGAGGCCTGGCTGGAGGTGAGGCCTGGCTGGCGGTGAGGTGAGGCCTGGCTGGCGGTGAGGTGAGGCCTGGCGGTGAGGTGAGGCCTGGCTGGAGGTGAGGCCTGGCTGGAGGTGAGGCCTGGCTGGAGGTGAGGCCTGGCTGGCGGTGAGGTGAGGCCTGGCTGGAGGTGAGGCCTGGCTGGAGGTGAGGCCTGGCTGGAGGTGAGGCCTGGCTGGAGGTGAGGCCTGGCTGGCGGTGAGGCCTGGCTGGAGGTGAGGTGAGGCCTGGCTGGAGGTGAGGCCTGGCTGCGGGGCTGCCGGGCGGGTTAGGCCATGAACTGCCGGGCCCAGGCCCTGGAGCTGACGGTGGAGGCGCGGCAGGTGGAGGAGGCGGTGTTGGCGGCGCTGCACACGGTGCTGCTGCACCGGAGCTCCGGGAAGTTCCACTACAAGAAAGAGGGCACTTACTCCATCGGTACCGCGGGCTCCGAGGACGTGGACTGCGACTTCGTGGACTGCACCTACGTCAGAGTCTCCTCCGAGGAGCTCGACCGCTCCCTCCGCAAGTCTGTGGGGGAGTTCAAGGTCTGTCTGGGTCTGTGTGTGGGTCTGTGTGTGGGTCTGTGTCTGTCTGTCTGTCTGTGTCTGTGTGTGTGTGTGGGGGTCTGTGTCTGTGGGGGAGTTCAAGGTCTGTCTGGGTCTGGGGGTCTGTGTCTGTCTGTCTGTCTGTGTCTGTGTGTGTGTGTGGGTCTGTGTCTGTGTGTGGGTCTGTCTGTCTGTCTGTGTGGGTCTGTGTCTGTCTGTCTGTGTCTGTCTGTCTGTGTCTGTGTGTGTGTGTGTGGGTCTGTGTGTCTGTGTGGGTCTGTGTCTGTGGGGGAGTTCAAGGTCTGTCTGGGTCTGGGGGTCTGTGTCTGGGTCTGTGTCTGTCTGTCTGTGTCTGTGTGTGTGTGTGTGGGTCTGTGTGTCTGTGTGTGTCTGTGTCTGTGGGGGAGTTCAAGGTCTGTCTGGGTCTGGGGATCTGTGTGTGGGTCTGTGTCTGTCTGTCTGTGTCTGTGTGTGTGTGTGTGGGGGTCTGTGTCTGTGGGGGAGTTCAAGGTCTGTCTGGGTCTGGGGGTCTGTGTCTGTCTGTGTGGGTCTGTGTCTGTGTGTGGGGGTCTGTGTCTGTCTGTCTGTGTCTGTGTGTGTGTGGGTCTGTGTCTGTCTGTCTGTGTCTGTGTGTGGGTCTGTGTGTCTGTGGGGGAGTTCAAGGTCTGTCTGGGTCTGGGGGTCTGTGTCTGTGTGTGTGTGGGTCTGTGTGTCTGTGGGGGAGTTCAAGGTCTGTCTGGGTCTGTGGGTCTGTGTCTGTCTGTGTCTGTGTGTGGGTCTGTGTGTCTGTGGGGGAGTTCAAGGTCCGTCTGGGTCTGTGGGTCTGTGTCTGTCTGTCTGTGTCTGTGTGTGGATCTGTGTGTCTGTGGGGGAGTTCAAGGTCTGTCTGGGTCTGGGGGTCTGTGTCTGTGTGTGTGTGGGTCTGTGTGTCTGTGGGGGAGTTCAAGGTCTGGGGGTCTGTCTGTCTGTGTGTGGGTCTGTCTATGAGTCTGTGTCTGTCTGTCTGTCTGTCTGTCTGTGAGTCTGTGTCTGTCTGTCTGTCTGTCTGTCTGTCTATGAGTCTGTGTCTGTCTGTCTGTCTGTCTGTCTGTGGGTCTGTGTCTGTCTGTGTGTGTGGGGGTCTGTGTCTGTCTGTGGGTCTGTGTCTGTCTCTGTGTGTCTGTCTGTGTGTCTGTCTGTGTGTGTCTGTGTGTGTGTGTCTCTCTGTGTCTCTGTCTGTCTGTTTGTTTGTCTGTGAGTGTGTCTGTTGGTGTGTGTGTCTGTGTGGTGTGTATGTGTGTCTGTCTGTGGGTCTGTGTGTGTCTGTCTGTGGGTGTGTGTCCCTGTGTGTGTGTGTCCCTGTGTGTGTGTGACTGTGTGTGTGTGTGTCCCTCTGTCTGTCTGTCTGTCTGTCTGTGTGTCTGTCTGTGTGTGTGGTGTGTGTGTCAGTCTGTCTGTGTGTGTGTGTCAGTCTGTCTGTGTGTCTGTGTGTGTGTCTGTCTGTCTGACACACACTCACCCACAGTCTGTGGCTGTGTTTAAAGCCTCTGATACACATTTGTTTCCGGGTTTTCGTCTTTTTTTCCCCAAAAATTCGAATGCAAACACTTTTTTTATTTTTATATCTCCAATAGAAACGCATACATGTGTGTCTATAATATGTTTTTATTATCTATTATGTCATTTTTAAATAATCATATCTAGTTTGTACACCAGTGGTCTGTCTGTACGTCCCTCACACACTCACGTTCAGAGGCCCCAGACATACAATTTCTTCCAGGTTTTCACCTTAAAAATAACAATTCAAATATATATATATATAATATTATATATATAACGTGAAGGATTGTTAGTATTGGCAATATATCCACAATTAATTCTTTTTTAATCGGCTTTTTAAAAATATTTCAAAATAGTCACCTGTAGATATTGTCTGTACACCAATCGTCAAAAGCCTGAAATTCAGATTTTTTTTCGGTGGGGGGGGGGTGGTGGGGGAATAAATAATCCTGAGAGGCGATCTCTGTTAGAGGCTTAACTGTCCTCGTGAAAATTATTCTTTGTGAAAAAAAAATGTACATTTTTGGGGAAATTTTGAAAAAAAATACATTCGGAGTTTTTTCCCGATAGAAAAGACGATCGGCCAATTATCCTTTGTACAAAAAAGTATAAAATGCTTCATTTTTTTTTAAAGGAAAAAGCGCGAGGGTTGTCTTGTGGCCCGTTGTTGTCCGTGTTTCTCTGCTGAGCGGCGTATTGCGGAAGGCCACACACGGTCACAGGCTGATACGCAGGCCATTGGTTCCTGGAATCCACCAGACCTTGTCCGCCAGACCATTTTGCCTTCAAATTTTTAGGGTTTTCCCGGAAAAAGAGTGGAAGAGTCTTAAACTCAGCCCCAATCCGGATTATGTTTTTTTTTTTCTTTTTTTCTCCACCCCCCAACCCCACCGCGCACGCACGCACCCCGAGACGTTGTTCAAAATAAATGAACTACCTTCCCGAACGTCGAGAAGCAAAGAATCCTTCGCGGAGCTCTGTAGATAAGTTTCCTTACTCCACCCGGCCGATAATTCATCCCTCAAGAAAAAAAAACAATCAATAATAATTCGGTCACTTCAATCCACGACTGTTGGTGGGAATGCCACTGTGTGCAATTGGCTGCCGCGTTTCGTCCGCAAAATATACATTCGCTGCATTTTACAGTGTATTCTTGTGAAGGGCTTTGAGATGACAGGAAGACATGAAAAGCGCTGTATTAAATGCAAGGATTATTATTATTATTTATGGCTATCAAAAGGGGATCGGTTCAATGTTTTGAAAATAAGAAAAATAACAATTACAAGATTTCATTTGTATAGCGCCTTTCACGTCGGGAGGACGTCCCAAGCCATTGGACAGTGCACAGCATTTCGGACCTGAGCTGGGGTCAGGGTGGAGAAGGGGGGGGGGTGGCCAATGGCATGGTCGAAGAGGAGGGTCTTGAGGCGGGACTTGAAGGAGGCTAAGGAGGGGGCGAGGCGGAGTGACTGGGGGATGGAATTCCAGAGGTTGGGGGCAGAGTAGCTGAAGGCCCTCCTGCCAATGGTGGGGCGGGGGACGTGGAGCAGGCCAGAGCCGGCTGAACGGAGGGAACGGGTGGGTTGGTAGGGGGTTAGGTGGTTGCAGAGGTAGGGTGGGGCGAGGCCATGGAGGGCTTTGTAGGTGAGGACCAGGATCTTGAACTGGATTCTCTGAAGGACAGGGAGCCAGTGGAGTCAGGCGAGAGTGGGGGAGATGGGGTCACGGAGTTTGGTGCGGGAGAGGACACGGGCTACAGAGTTCAGGATTATCTGCAGCCTGTGGAGGGAGGAGTTGGGAAGGCCGACAAGCAGGGCATTGGCATAGTTGAGCCTGGAGGTGGTGAAGGCATTAACAAGAGTTTCGGTGGCCTGAGGGGTGAGGTAGTGGCGGAGTCGGGCGATGTTACGGAGGTGAGGGAAGGCAGAGCGGGTCATGGCTTGGATGTGGGTCATAGTGGATAGAGAGAGGATCCGGGTTCGGTTCCCAGACAGGGCGAACCCTGAGGCAAGTTTCCTTTACTCCACACGTCACTGTTTACCTAGTAGGAACCCAGTGGTTAGTCGACTGGCGGATCGCTTTTTTTCGGGGGTAATAATCCCTTCAAAATAATAATAATTTTTTNAATATTTGCGCGCAGCTGTGTCACGCTGTTTGGGGGACGCTGCTGTGTGCAATTGGCTGCTGAGTTGGACCCACAGAATATACACAAGTCAATTCACTTTACAGTTTATTTTGGGAAACGCTTGTGGGATGTCTAAAAGGCCGCCATAAGGTGCTGTATCAATGGCAAAGATTATTATTATTATATAGTATGCTTATTATTATCTGTGCAGTGGGTATGAGATCTTGAGGATGTATTAAAATGTGAGGCTTATTATTGTTGTTGGTGTTTATATGGTAATCTCTCCTCCCTGTAGGACGCACTGCGTAACTCTGGCAGTGAAGGGAGCGGCCAGATCTCCCTGGAGTTCTACCAGAAGAAGAAGTCCCGCTGGCCGTTCTCGGACGAGTGCATCCCCTGGGAGGTCTGGACCTTCAAGGTCAACGTGGTCAACCTGGCCAACGAGCAGGAGAGGCAGATCTGCCGTGAGAAGGTGGGCGAGAAGCTGGGCGAGAAGATCATCAACATCGTGGAGGTCATGAACCGCCACGACTACCTGCCCAAGATGCCCACCCAGTCGGAGGTGGACAACGTCTTCGACACGGGCCTGAAGGACGTGCAGCCGTACCTGTACAAGATCACCTTCCAGATCACCGACTCGCTCGGGACGTCTGTCAGCACCACCATGAGGCGACTGATCAAAGACACGCTGGCTTTGTAGTCCACAGGTCACGCACTCGACTGATGTACAACTGCGCTAAGCAGCCTAGCTGAGATTGTTTGTGTTTTACTGTGACCCCCCCCCCATCCATTCCCCACTCTGTCCCACCGCATTTACCGCCCCCCCCCCAAAAAAAAAATTGAAAACATTTTCAAAAACATTTTGACCCACAAAATAATACACCTCGCATTCGAATATAGCGCCTTTTCACGTCTTCGAGAAGTCTCAAAGCACTTCACAGACTGGATACCGTAAGGTGAATTGACTGTATATTTTTGTGTTGTACAGCCAATCCTCTTTACCGTATATTCTGTGAATAGATTGTGAAAAACGTTGAGACCTCTCGACGGCTTGATAAGGAGTTGTATCAAATGCAAGAATTATTATTATTATGTTTTGCTGTTGCTGTGTTTTTGTTTGGCGGTGGGGGAGGAATGCTCGAGGCATCTGTTTCTCGGGAGAAGAGTTTGGCTGATTTCGGAGCCGAGTGCTTCAGAAAAGCCACTCTGCAAAACCTCCAGCTGTCAAAGCCGAGTCTTTGTAAAGTTGTGTGTGTTTTTGTGTGTGTGTGTGTGTGTGTAAATATATTATGTAAATAAATATAGATATTTTAAAATGAGGGGGGGGAAAAAAAGACAAGAGTGAGACGGATGAGCGAGATTGTAAGAAAGAGCTGGAAAAGAGAGATGCTTCGGTTTTCTCAGTGCTGAGGGGTTTAGCCACTGATCTCGCAATCATCTCGTGGAATCCTGTAGCATATTGGTTAGTCCGCTCACCTCGCAAGCAAGGACCCGGGTTTGATTCCCGGACGGACGAAACCTTTGGCAAGCTTCCTTACTCCACACACCTCTGTTTGCCTAGCAGTAAGTAGGAACCCGGTTGTTAGTCGATGGGCGTTTCGCTTTCCAGGGGTAATAATCTCTCCAAAATCAATAAAAACAATAATAGTTTGGTCTCTTAATCAACGACTGTTTGTGGGACACTGCTGTGCGCAATTGGCTGCTGCATTACGTCCACAAAATAATCACTCAGTTCCCTTTTTTAGTATATTCTGTGCAACGCTTTCAGTCTCAACCATATGATAAGGCGCTATATCAAATGCAAGGATTATTATTATTAACTGGTTGCCAAACAGCTGCTTTGCATGTAATTCTGGCGTTCTGCAGACTCACCTCAAACCCCCCCCCCCATTGGTATTTTTTGCTGTTTATATTGAATAATATCTTTGTGTTGTCGAAACCACACGTTAGGTCACTAGGAACTTCCTTACCTCGTCTTTCCCGAACCAAAATTCCACCTGGCCTGGGCCTGCAAGCTCTCAACATTTTAACACCGCGCATGGAAATTGGAGAAAATTTTAACATTGCACCATCTTAAATGTTAAAGGCTAAGACTGTGTGGCTCCCAACCAGCCTACGCCTAAAACTTTCCGGAATTAGGCAAGCAGGATGTGTCCCTCCAAGGGAGAGAGTGCGCATTGCATTTCAACAGTCTTATCTCTGGGGTTTCCATGTGTAGGTGGGATGCCTGGAATTCTCAGTTTGGTTTGGATACTCTTAAGCACGGAGATGGGTTTCCGCATGTGTCAAGACACCCGGCTGACCCCCCAATAAAAGGTGTGGGGCTCAGGAGGTGAGCAAACTGTTTTTCTTTGATATGACCACATCGGAGGGGGCACACAGTGACAGACTCTTGTGTAAACTGCACTGCCTCTGTAAGGCAGTTTGCCCACGTTGACACAGGCTTTCCCCGATAAGATTAGATCAGCTGTTTATTTTACAGGAACACGAGAGAAAAGGAAATCCGACACATTTACTTACGTTGGCACTTGCGTGCTCTCCGAAAGTGTATTCATTAAAGAGATTCATCACAAACTTGAGGAAGTTTGCGTTTCTTTTAAATCACGTCATTATTTATTTCAGGGTTTTAGGGGGCATTTTCATTCTGGCTCAGTTGGTAGCGCTCTCGCCTCTGAAGCAATCCAAGGTTGTGGATTGACGGCCTGCAACCCATATAGAACCCAGTCTCTGCTGGTACTCCAGTGGAAGCTGATGTGTGTGTGTGTGTCAAGACCCTGCTCTTCGACCGTGCTTTCAACCACCCTGCTTCCCCCCCCCCCCCCCCCCAACATCCTGCCCTCCACCCTCCCCGATCCCATTTCGGGTCCGAAACTTTGACTGTCCAACGCCTTGGGACGTCCTTGCGACGTGAAAGACGCCACACCTATGTAATTTTGTTGCTGTTGTCTTCACTTGTGCAATACAGCTGCATCTCACAGCGCTGAGGTTAATTGGAAATGAACTGAATGTTGTGATGGAGGCAAATATGGCAGCTAATTTGCCCCCAGCAGCAACAATACAACCTGTATTTATGCAGCACCCTCCACGCAGGATAGCGTCTCAAGAGTGCTTAACATTGGCAGAGCACGAGGCTGAGCTGGGGGGAGGGAGGAGGTGAGCGTAGGTACGGGCTAAGGAATATCTTCAGGCGCGAACTGAAAATGGGTAAGGGGTGGGGGAGTAAGGCGGAGGGGTTGAAGCAAGTTCCAAAGCTTCCGGGCCTCGTGGCTGAAAGCACGGCCGCCGATGGTGGAGCGGAGGGGACGAGGGACAAGCAGGAGACTGGAGAAGAGGTAGGGAGGTGCCAGGATGTGAAGGGATTTGTAGACAAGTGTGAGGATCTTGGAAGTCGATCCGTTCTGTGATAGGGAGCCACTGGAATATAGGGGCGGCATATATGGTTTGTAACCATACTCATGAGGTGAAATTTAACAAGAAAGACAAGATCAAAATATAAATCAAGGTAAGGAAGACAAAGCAGTGTGCAGGTTATTCCTGTATGCTTACCTGAATCACCAAGGAGATTGGATCTAAATTAAACACAATTAAAAAGTTAACCTAGAAGTAAACGTGTATTTAAAATAGATTGTCCTACAATATAGGTTTACACACTCAGTCACCAGTTTTTGTACAACATAAACATTTGTAGAATCGATTGGCGGATCTCTTTCCAGGGGTGGTAATCTCTCCAAAATAAATACTGTAAATAATAATAATTTGGTGACTCAACCATGACTGTTTGTGGGTCAATGCCGTGTGCAATCGGCTGCTGTGTTTTGCTCACAAAGCACAATCAATCCATTTACGATCTATTCTGTGAAGCACTTTTCAAAGAGACGTTTCAACGATGTGACAAGGCGCTTTATCAAATGCTCGGATTATTATTCCCTTAAATAGAAAAAAACCCACAACAAAACATAATAGTTTGGAAACATTATTTATTACTTAGTTTCTATAAATGTATTACACAAGGACATTGAAGTCAAGTGGTTAATTCGAGAGCAGAAACAGTCAAAAGCCTAAAGCTATCAGTTAATCTTTGGTGTCTGTGAGCATGACTACTGCAGACAATGTACAATGGGAGTAATCCTTGCTTTGTAAATACAGGGCTTTAAAATAACTCTTTTAATTTTAATTATATAAAAAACACTGCTTCATTTAACTTCTTTCTAGTCCAGACTAAGCAAAAAACAGTCCATTGAGCTTAAATGCCCAAGAGCCAAAATGAAGCTTTGTACATATATTTTTCTGCGTAAACAGATCAGAGATTGAGAGAGGCCAAAAATGTTTGCAAATGGCAGACACAAATTATTTAATCTGAATTTTGCAGGTACACTTTTTGATGCCCGCTCTGTTAGTATATACACCGGTAAACAAAGAGGACACTGAACAATAATGGCCTCAAGTTTACCTTTCTAGGATCAGCATGTTCCAGTTATTACAAAGTACAACTTTTAGAGAGAGAGAGAGAAAAAACACAAGAGAAGGTGCAACTCAAGCCCAGATTCAAAAGGGCTTGGACGTCCAAAATTTCAAAATACATTCTATACCATCAGTAGTACATCTTAACAATAATTTTTTTTTAAGTTGCATTGCAGACGGCAACTCGGCATGCGAAGCAAAAAGCAGACTGTGCAGAGATTGGAGGGAGAGGGAGAGAGAGGGCATTTTAGAAGGTGTTAAGTAAATTGGTCAACTGAAGCCCAAATAAATCACTTAGGGAGCGAAAAGAAACACAGGCAAGTAAGAAAACATTTGTACTGTACAGCAAAAATTCAAACACACTTCTATTTTGTTTAACCTCCGCCCCCAAGTCTTTCAGATTGAGACTTGTAAATAAAAAGGAAGTGTTTTTAAAACTAAAATTGTACCGAGACGTGCGTGAATTTGAGATCCGTAAATGACGTGAATCAGTGACGTTTAGGAAGGGAACGAGGGAAGGAGAAGAAACGTGTCAACTGTTTAAGGGCGATTGGAATGAAGGGTATCGAGCCTGAACTTTTACAAAAACGATGTTGGCCAGAACACGACTAGTAAATATTTTACGCTCGTCCACATTGCTATTCATTGAATTACAGGGTTAATTTACATGAGTGTGAATGACATCACCTGGCAATGCTGAATACCAAGAACTCTAAATCGGTATACGGATAATATTGTGCATTACCCTACCCAAGCACCAATAATATCCACGCATTATAACCCTATAAATATCATGAATACCTAAAACATAAATGGGCTACGAGCAGAAACGCGCATCTTACTCATTGCGAAAGGCAATTCACAACAACTTGCATTTTTAAATTCACGGGGCAGTGTCTCAGAGTGCTTAACGGAGGTTACTGTGACCACAGTCGAAGAAGAAAGTCTTCAGTCGTGATCTAAAGGAGGGGGTGAGGTGGAAGGATTAAGGGAGTGAGTCAGAGCAAAGTGGCTGAAAGCATAGCCGCCGATGGTGGAGCTGAGGGGACAAGAAGGCCAATTACTCATGAATTCCACTGCAGGCCCTCTCGAGCACTTTAGCAACCATGGCCTCAGAGGGTCCCGTGAAAATTCAAGAGGTGGTCTCGGGTGTTTTCTGCTTCCTGGATATGCACCAGTGGTCGCATACCTGATTAAGTTCCACTAGCAGAAGTCGCCTGTGCGGGTGAAAGCCAAGTGAAACAAGGAGTATGATTGTCCTCATCAAAACCCGCCGGGTGGCCTCCAGCATCAAAAGCATCATCCAGGTCATTCATGACGAGCTCCCGCATCGTACTGTTCAAACCATGGATCGTAATAACAGAAGCAAGTGCGTACAAATGTGTG